ACAATTTTTTTTGAACATTCTAAATTTTTTTTTAAATACCATAAGAAGCACAAATCAAAATATGAAGCCAAGGAAGTTAAAATGGGCGGGGCATGCAGTTCGGAGCTTCATCGGAGCTTCACCAGGAAGCCTCTACACAATAATAAACGCCTCAATAGTAGACAAAAGGCAACATATACATATATGTTAAATATATATATATATATATATATATATATATATATATATATATATATATATATATATATATATACATTTATTAGATCTTTCTATTGGTCTTGCTCAGGACCAATAAAAAAATCTCAGGATATATATATCTTTGTCCTGAGTAAGCCCAAAAAAAAAAGTAATAAATGTAAAACTATCATGTATAATGTGGTGCTTTTACAAATATAATTGTTAAAATAAGACAGCTTAGTTATGCATGAAACTCAATTTTTTTCCTGAAATCGTCATTTTTCTTTTTTTAATTCCATAATGAGTTTTAAAAAAAAGTTAAATGCAGTGATCTGTTGAAAAAACCTTTAAATAAATGTGTATAAGTAATTCTCCTCTATTTTTAATAGGTTAAAATCTAATTTAGAGATACATACCACTGGTGTGTAATTCTTGGTCGAAACACCAAAACTATTTTAGAAATATTTTTCTAAAAAATGTAGAACTTAAAAATAAAGTTTATTCCGTGTAAATGAATAGAAATGAAGACAGTAAAAAGAAAAATATATTACTAAGGGAAAAGAAAATATGTTAAAATACGAAAAAGATTTTTGTATAACAAGTATTGTACTCAACAGCAAAGAGGAAAAGGCCGCATTTTGACATTGTTAAAAATTAAATACAGACCCTGTTAATAACATTTTAAAAAATTTTCGATGGAAAATATTTCATCCTCAATTTTCAATTTATTATTTTTCTTTTAGCTTCATGAATTTATTTTCCACGTTTTTATAATTAACCTATGACGGCTCCGATTATGTTTCTCAGAATATTTTATTAAAGTAATGGTACGACCCACACGAATAATTTTATAAATAGCTACATAATAACTATATAATAGTATAATAAAACTATATAATAATATATATATAATAGCTATATAATCATATATAATAACATAGCGAATAACTATATAAATAGCATAATAAAACAAAAAAAAATTAAAATAAATAAATGAAATGATATAAAAAACACGAAATTCTTGTGATGTTCATGGCGAAATATATATATATATATATTTCGCCATGAACATCACAAGAATTTCGTGTTTTTTATATACCAGTAATGATAATAGTAAATGTATCATTAATAGTAACGCAATTGAAAGCAAATTGTAATTTGTTAATTTAAGCCAAGTGCCATCGTGTAATGTAGAAGTAAAAACCTTCATATTTGTTTTCTCATATTTCAATCGTTGTTTCTCCTTTTTAAGAAACCGGTTTATAAATTTTTAATTTCAATCTCCTGTACCAGGAATTCCAAACATTTTTCAGGGACAATTAACTACATGTTTTAGAGATCATCTCGTGGGGTATACTACTTTATCAAATGAACTGGATTTAGAATATTTTAAAGTGTGTATATATATATATATATATATATATATATATATATATATATATATATATATATATATATATATATATATATATATATGGCTACCTGGCCTTGAAAAGGGTTGAAGGATCAAAACGGCGGTATATTTGACTAGACCTTAAATAATGCTTGTCTTCTACTGCTTTGAGCCCAGTCCAAAATTGCAGACTCTCTCCGCTTCAGAAGATTATCTCTAAAATTATCTAGACTTCTTTTAGCTTTTTAAGCTTTCTATTTTTGTTGATAGCTTCTTTGATGTACCGTTGCGCATTTTTATAATATTATTAATTTCTGTAATAATTCATAGATGAGCTTAAAGTTCAAAACATTTCCATTTATATACTTATGAATTTGTAAAATCGATTATATAAAGAGGTACTTCCGGTAAGCAAATTTTGACGACGCAGTAACATATGAGCTACATACAAACATTAAATACGCAATTTTAGTTTAGTAAGACTTTTCGGTTTTGCACGAGACTGTTACACACATGGACATTTTGCGAGACATGTTTATTTGGAGTAAGTAGAACTCAGAAGGTATATTTCCGTTGAAAACTCGGATTCAACAAATATCTCATTTATATTTATGTACAAATCAATACGTTTACTGGTACTTAATTTATTTTAAATATAAGGTTCGATTATTATGTTATGTTAGCTAAAAATTTTCTTATTCTTTTATGCCAGACAATTTTCATCTTTTTGTTCATTATAATTGTTCTTAGAAAACTAAATGTCTCAGAATAAAATTTATGTTTCTTCTTCTTCTTAAAAAATGAAAAAAATTCTAAATGCTATATCCATCACTGGTGCGCTTACCCTAAATATTCTTCATAATTTTTGGTTAATTAGAAATTCAGAGCTGGAAGCTTGGCTATATTAGGCAAGAGTTTTTTTATTCAGCGATTCAATACGTAAGATTAACATTTAAGTCTGGTGACAAAAATTTCCAAAATGAACAATAAGTCGATCTGAAAACTGTTCTTCATCCCTTACACATCAAGTTGGCATTGATAAATAATTTTACTGAGCTCAAGGAAAAAAATTTCTGTTGGACCTCTAATTCGTGAAATTTTTCAAATTCGCTAAATTTTTATCGAATACAGATATAAAACAACAGCAACATCGTAACAGCAATTTTCCGATTACGTCCATCAAAAAGAAAACAACAAACGTGAGGAAGGAGACCAGACAAGAGAGCAAGAAGAGCGTAAAAAAGAATTAAGAAGAGAACATATGTCTCTCCGAAGTGACATATGAGTCGTGTGTATTTCCGTCGTCACGTGTGACAGTGCTCAGGTCTCGGCTGCTTACTGTCCTATTGTCACACTGCCAGCCCTTAGAGAACTATCTTCTTCAATAGTTTGGGGAGGGGGAAAGGGCAGTCAAAACAAATCTACAAGTCTTTAAAATAGTAGTACATACATAACGGACTGATGGAAGGCATCATCTGAGTAGCGAATCCAATATTTAATATTAGGGGTGAGGGGAGGGGGGATTTATCCCGATAGATTTTTTTTTTTTTTGTAAACACAGGATGTTCCTCAAGTAGAAGGAAATATTCAAATGGGCGATAGTAGACCACAAGAGATACAAACAAGTTCATATAAATGGTTCGATTTTCTTCAGAAAATTAGGAAATTTGTGTTTTTACAGCAAGTCATGTTTTTTTTTATGAATTGGAAGGGATAACTTTTAAAAAAATATTTAATTTAAGTTATTAAGAATTTTCTCACAGTAAACGAGATAAAATTTTTAAATTCTTACAAAATTAGTATATAGTTATGATTAAGATTTATTAATTAAAATAAATTTATTGAAAACTTATTATTTTTATCTGTTAAAAATTTATTTATCTGTTTAAGATTGATTCATAGTTTTTTTACACAATAGAAAATATATGATTACATACGTAGCCAAAGGCAAAACAGTTCAGTACCTTTTTATCCTTAATTTATCAACTGATTTTCTTTTTTTATTTTTTTTTTTATTGGCTTATGATGAGCTTTAGTGATATTAATAAAATATTATGGGAAAGTTATAAATAAATAAAAATTTAATGTCAATTTTTTCTAAACCGGAAACTCAAAAAAATCTTAATCGATTGCTTTGAAATATTGATAAAACGTTGTAATCAAATTCAAAAGTGTTTTTTTATTCGTTTTATTGCCATCGGTCCTTCGGTAAATAGGAAATAAAACAACCTTCTCATACGGTGATGTTTAAGGACAATAAATTAATAAATAATAAGTCTAGCATTTATTAGTTTAAAATTAAAATTAAATAAATTACAATGAGAATTATGAGCTGAAATTACAATTTCTGTTGGAGCTTTCAGGCATTACAGTTTTTTTTTAATCTAAAATAATTAATATACTATATTGTACCCGCAAGATCGGACATCCCATAGTTGAATTGAGTTCTGAAATTAGCCGACGTTATAAATTAACGTTATTAATCTTGAATTCATATAGTCTCTTTTTATTGAATTATTAACATCCGCCTGAAACTTCGCAAATAGTTTCATCTCATCGTAACCTACAACTATTTTATTTACGAAAACTCTGGGAATTGGGGCGTTTTCAATCTGGGGGTGGGCAAACTTTGTCTATTTAATTAGGTACTTAAAATTCGTTAATACCCGTTTTCATTCTACTTGTATCATAAGATAATTTGATATCAAAATCGAGAAAAAAGGCAACCTTCAAAAATATTGAGCCGTTTGGCGTGACCTACACTCCTAAATTTTCAAAAAACGAGGTTATATAGGCAAACGGGCCAATATTTTTGTACGCCACCTTTTTTATCGATTTTGTGACCAAAGTTTCTTACGATTCAAATAGAATGCAAATGGGTATTTACGAGTTTTCGGTGCTTAATTAAATAGACGAAATTAGCTCTCTTCCAGATTGAAAACGCCCGAATTTCATGAGTTTTCGTAAATAAAATAGTTGTTGGTAACGATGAGATGAAACTATTTACGAAGTTTCAGGCGGATGTTAATCAATCGATAAAAAGGGGTCTGTTCCACAGACTAGTATTTATATAAAATTAAATTATGATAGATATTGTTGCGTTCTGGGTAAAGACATATATAAATATACAACTGACTTTTCTCTACTAAAGAAATTGATAACTTTATATAATTAAATACAGATAACGGCTAGAAACGTCTTTTTCTTTTAAATTTCAAAACACATCATAAAGGCATAGATATGAAAAATTTATTAACCTCCTGAAGAGTTCTTAAATTTAGCATTAAAAACCATTTTTTCGAAAATTCAAGGTAAGTTTCCAAGACATATAATAAAATAATAATAATAATTTTTTAATCAGAAAAAACTATAATTGAATTAATGAACAGTATTAATAATAATTTATCAATAAAAATATAAGTTAACTCACTTGTGACGTGCAGAAATTCTTCAAGTCGAGTTGCCTCTGCTCTTTGGTTTCCAGGTCGACCGAAGTATCTTGGGACTGCGAGTAAAACTGAAAATTATTAAACAAACTGTAACAACTACAAAGCAGCAATTGCTCTTAACTTGATATGTTTTACAATATAATACAATTTATATTATATAGTATTTTAATTTTACAATTATATACCGTACGATGACGTAATTTTGGGACACTTTTCAAAGTTTTAAGCTGCTTCCATCAAACTTAAAATGCTGAAGCAATTATTAATATGTAAGGCCAGTCCTCCTCAAACTCCAAAAACAAGAGTATTTTATTAAAAATAATTTATAATGATGTAGAGATGGTTGACCGTGATATAATATGAGAAGGAGTTGGTCTGGGGGCGCGGTGAAATAAATACTAAATTTTTAAAAAATAATATTTTTAATAGTTTCGCCGGAGTTCCGACCTACCTTGCAGGTCTTCATCAGGGCTATAAAAGATACAAAATATAATCGGGTACATGATGGAAATAAAATAAATGAATTATAAATAGATAAGAAAATAAGAAACAGTTGGCTGATAAAGGAATAATTAGATGACATCAGAGATATAGTGAGTGGATGAAGGTGTAGTTAAAATATCAAGTATTATATATATAGAAGATAAAACAAAAAAAGAAAACAAAGGAGAATATAGCATGCAAGTGAAAAGTAAACAGATTGTGCTAAAGATAAGGAATGAGTGTAAAACAAAGTGGTAAAGATTACATTTGATAATTGTAGGTTAACAGATAAAGAAAATGAGTGTTGACGAATAATTAAATTGAGAAATGAATAAGTAATGACCTAGTAAAGCTAAACTATGAATAACATAACATAATAATAAGATATCAGTCTATAACAAGCTAGTGAAGGTTACACTTGATAAATGTAGGTAAACAGATAACGAGACTAAAGATTAATAAATAAATAAATTGAAAAATTAGTAAGATGACATGAGTTGTAATATCCTTAGGATATATTTATTAAATATATAACTCTAAAAGAAAAAACTTTTTCTTAAAAAGTATATATAATCTAACAAATCGAGGCAATGGGGTCGTTTAAAAACTATTCTATTGTACTTGCTCTATTGAAGTAGAGGAACATAAAAATATTTCATGGTTGATTAAAACCAATAATATAATTTTTCCAAAACATCATTTAATAGCATTTTTGAAAAGTAAATGAGTGAATAATTTGATCTATTTTCACTTTGTAAAATCACATTATGCTCTTTCAATTAGTGTGACAACTTTTGACCTATCGTTTCTATATTGAAAAACCCGTAAATGGATTTTAGTTCACAAGAGAAAAATTAAGATTTCAAATATATGAAAAAAGTGATAGAAATTTAATTTCTATAAATTTTATTATGTATTACAATCGCTACTTATACATAGATTAATTATATACACTTTCATATCACTCTTGAATATGATAAATAAGGTTTGTGTTGGTATGATTTTTTTAATGAGTTATTTGGATTTACAAATGGAAATTCACAAATGTACTCTTTAAGGTTTAACTCCATTAAAACGTTTTTGTAATAGCCCAAAGTTGAAAAAAATAATTTATATTTAAAGTAGAGCGGTAAGTGAAAGTTATGTGATGCGTGAACCAGATTTTTAAGATATGAAAATAACATTTTAAATGTTATGCCTAAGAATAAATCTACGATAAATGTCCAAAGATATCTGCCGCTGTGAATACCTCAAGTTCCTTCATAATTCAAATAGGCAATAGAACTACTGAAGACGTGATTCTAATTATGGATAGCTTGAACTAAATCTAATCGACATAATATATATCCAGGCAATCGATAGTTGTATAAAGTACTGGAGATAATAGGGAAGGCAATGTCCCTATACCTGCTCCAGGCTGGTTACGGATAATGTTTTATAATCCTGGAACCCGTGGCAAAAAAGATGTAGTATTTCATACTAATGTTTGTCCTTATAAATTGATCATATCCACTGGTGTGATTAGAAAAATGTACGTCTGCCAGCATATAGCCGCTGGAATACAAAATGGCGGCCATGTGAAGATAGATAGAGATACTACAAAGGTTGTAAGAGTATATATAGAGAGGGCTTATAGATATATATAGTTACTAACCCTTTCAAATTTTAGTATTTACAGTCTTGAGACATGAAATAATATTATAATAGAAATAATGAAATAATAGTCAATTACACTATAGCCGAGGATTTCAAGTCGAAACATTGAATTTACGATTCCAAAAGCTTACTTTTCCCGGTTTTTCGCTTATATCAGTGAAACTACACGATTTATCTATAATAATGCCGTATGTAAAATTAAAGCTGACAAAATTAGCAATGGAAATAGTTAAATGAGATTTTTCGCTATATTCTACAGTTTCCGTGAAATCCGTCCTCGTAATTCACTAATTTCGGAAAAAAAAATGTTTGCATCGCATTTATTTGACTGGTCAACTACTTATATTTTAGGAAGAAGTCATGAGGAAGAAAGTTGTTTAATATTATATTTTCTTTAAGAATATACAGGTTGTTTCAGGGTTAAGTTTTCAAACTGAAAATATGAATTAAGGATCTCAAAACAACAACAAAAATTCCTATGAAGTTACGTCCGCAAACGCTGTAGTAGATTTTCAAACCTAAAGATTTTCAATGTTTTATTATTTACGTTATATTAAGTAAATACAACTTATTTGTTCCAACTACTATATTAATTAAATGTAAACATTAAATTCATATTAAATGCTGTTTTAAGTGATGATTTCCTTGAGCATGAAGACAGGCTCGGCATCTTTCTTCAACAGCAGCAGTGGCAGAACGGCACTGGATATGTGTTATTGTTTCACTTTATATGAAATATCTATCTTATCTATCTTCGTAAGAAATCAAGGTCATTGTCCGGATTCGCATAGACCTTTTGTTTAATTTCACCCCAAACAAAAAAATTCAGTAATGTCAGGTCTAGAGAGCGTGCAGGCCAAGCCACTGGTCCTGCACGGCCAATCCATTGATTAGGATGATTAACATTTAGCCAATGTCGTGGACCTCTTCCGTAATGTGCAGGACAACCATTTAATTGAAGCCACATGTACCTTCTCAGTTGCAGTGGATTGTCAGGTTTTATTTATTTCATACAACGTAAATAATTCATAACAACGAAAATCTTTAGGTGTGAATATCTCCTAAACAAAGCGTTTGGGGACATATCTTCAGAGGAAATATTTTTCTTGTTTTGAGGTCCTTAGTTCATTTTTGAAGTTTGGCCACTTAACAGTGAAACACCCTGTTATAAGTGTGTTTTTTTTTTTACTTTACTGTTTTATCTTCAACCAATCAAAGGCTACAGAAATTATAACTTATAATGATAAATTATAAACTATTATAAACTTATAAATTATAAATTATAATGATTATACTCCAGAACTATACAGAAAAACTTACTTTTCAGAATTTTCGATATCAATCTGTATATAAGATAACATACATGTAAATACATTGGCTTTAATAATATACAGATATATACTGTCTTACATACAGACTAAGAGCTGTATAATAACGAAAATTGCGAAAAGTAAGTTTTACTGTATAGTTTCGGAGTTAAATCATTAAAATATAATTGCTGTAGCCTTTGAATGGTTGAAGATAAGATAATAAAGTAATATATATTGTTAAAGAAAATTTAATATTAAACAAAATTCTTCCTCATAACTTCTTCGTAAAATGAAAAGATAAAGAGTTACCAAGTCAAATAATGATTAAAATACGATGTAAGCATTTTTTTTTTCTTGCCGAAATTAGTGAATCACCAGGACCGATATCACGGAAACTATAGAATATAGCGAAAAAACTAATACAAACATTTCTATTTTTAATTTTGTCAGCTTTTATTTCACATCTGACATTATTATAGACAAAACGCGTAGCTTCACTGGTATAAGCGAAAAACCGAAAAAAGTATACTTTTTGAATCGTAAATCCAATTTTTCGAATTGAAATCCACGGGTATGGAGTAACTGACTATTATTTCATGTCTTAAGACAGTAAATACTATACATTTAAAGGGTTAGTAAATTTATATATGTTATAGCTCTCTCTATATATACTCTTATAACCTATGTAGGGCCTCTATCGATTTTTACATGACCCCCATTTTGTATTCCAGCGGCTATATGCTGGCAGACGTGCTTTTTCTTATCAGGACAGTAGATATGATCAATTTATAAGGAACAACCTTAGTATGAAGTATGACACCTTTTTTGCCATGGGCTGCATGCAGGACTATTAGATGGTAGCTTACTTTACAACCAACAGCTTTTTTTTTTTTTTTTTGTTTTTATAGCGAAAAAATACATTTTGCCTCAATCAAGGGCATTGAGTATTTCCGATGTGAGAAACTCATTCATACAATATATACAATTAAAAAATAATAGAAATTACAGCAAAAATAAGAAGAGAAAGCTTAGTAAAACAGATGAAATAAAATATCGTACGACGCAAATTAAAAAAATTAAAATAAATAAGAAAAATAAAATAAAATAAAATAAATAACATTCATGCACCAAGAGTTATATTAAAGTGTTAGCAGTTCAAATTAAAAATAAATATAAAATTAATGCTATAATTATTTCTATAAATTAAAATTACTATATCAATTAAAACCCATTATCTTTACTGTTATTAATTACAAATCATTATATTTATTGGAATAAAATATAAATCCTTCATTAAAAATTAAAATATAGCATAAGTAGTAATTATTAAATATTATTAAAAAAGAAAAGAAAAAATGAGAAATGCTTGAAGACTACATTGTCTTTTTCTTATAAACTTAATGGACTTTTTTCCTAAAGAAGAAGTAGCTTATACTTGGTGGATTACTATCGACTCAACTTCGAACTTAGCCTGTCTGGTTTCTTCTCTTAATTAGGAACTAGTTTTCTTTTCTAGCTCTTTCCTAAGCTTACCAATCAGGCAAAAGACCTGGGAAACTAAAGTTTGAATCTTGAGCTCGAGCACATAAAACAATATATCAATAATAAAAATGGATTGT